GATGGTGAAGCTAAACATGAAACATTATGTATAAGATTTAAATCGGGTGATGTAGCGAAAAGATTTGTTAAACAATTTAATGAAGCCAAACAAGCCAATGCTAATGGTCAGCAGTAAATATCAAGGAAAAAAAATTTAATAAAACATTTTCTGTTGTTCTTATTCTAAATTGATATTCATTATATATGTGTGTGTCTGTGTGTACCTCTTTTTTTTCTATTATTGATCATTTTTCTTTTCTGTTCTGAATGCTTTATTTCCTTCTTCTCCTTGTGCTTGTGTGTGTGTATGCGTGTGTGTGTGTGTGTATCGGATATTATTGTTAAGTTGAAAAACTCTTGAAAAAAAAGATGGTAACATTAAATGAAGACACAATCAAAAACTAAACATTCATTTATATAGATATGCATAAGAAAATTGATTATAGTAACAGATGATAATTATGTGAGACAGATTTTTTACCATAAGGTAAGTCAGACTGACACTATTAAAAGTCAATGATTCGTCGCTTTCCTTGAAAGTTATAATGATTTTTTGGTTGAAAATCATTTGTATTCTATGTTTATCTGGCATTAGTATCTTTACTATTACTTCCATTATCAGCATCTCATAAGAATGACACCAGAATCAAACAGCAATCACATACAATATGCTTCCTACAGATTGACGGTCTATTCCTGTTGTGTATAAAAATCCGATTGGTATCTAAAGATTTTCTTTTCCTTTATACATACTACCCCAAAGTCTTATAATTGTGGTTACAAGCAAAAATAAGAATGTTACTTCTCACATGCATTTTTTGTTCTTTCTTCTTTTTTTCTCATGGACATGCGTATATACATGCAGCTGCCGAACAACCCCAACCAGCCTAGTACAGAAACAATAATAATAATAATAATAACAACAACAACAACGAGAAATATATGAAAAAGATTATGTGGTTCTGCGCTCTGATTGCTGTCGTCAATATGATGCGACAAAGCAAAGGAAGAAGAAAGAGTACAGTATTGATGAAAAAAACCTTGAAGTAGGTCTCCTACAGAGAGAGAGATCCAATAACAATATTTTGTTTGGTGTGTTTTGAGATATGAAATGACAGTAATTTATTGTAGATAAATCTTTCATACATATATAGGTTTTGTTAAATATGTTTACACTTGACTGCGTATATTATTATAGATCATCGGAAAAAAAATGGATATTCAGCTTGAATAGATAATATATCGTTCAGTAACATATGGTCAATAATGGTTTATTGTATATGGAAGCAACAAATCAGGATAAAACAAAAAAGAATATTTTTGTCTTTTCTTGTTCCCCACCAGCGCGATGACGTAAAGAAAAAAAGAAACGATAAGAATACAGAAAAGCACAAATTATCACAGAAAAATATCAGCTAAGTCTGTTTGGATGCATCTATTACTGGTACTTATACATATATCTGTTTCTCGTTTGCTCGTCTTTTTTTTTCTTTTTTTCTTTTTCTCTCTGTCTTCTAAGAAAAACCACAGCATCATTATTATTACTATCATGGCTATCGTTTCCATCAACATCATTTCTTCTGATATGTTTATTGAGAATTTACTTGATATGTTCGTTCTAGCTCCTTTTTCTCTTTTTTCTCTATTCTTTTTTATTTATTTATTCCATCTTGCGTCTTCTGCAATCGAACTTTAGCAGCCGCGCCAGGTTATTAAGTTGTTGTTTTTCTTTTTATTATTGGTATTGGTATCGACTATAATGATTGTATTAACCATTTTGCCCTTCATTTTCGTCTGTTGATAAAATTGGAGAAAACGAACCTTATATAGTACAAATTTACAATCTAAAAACTTACGGTCATGTCAATCCAACTGGCATATCTAAACTACAGAAATATTCTATTTTATATCTTCTTCTATATTCTATTTTTCTTTTGTAGATCATCCTCCTAAGCAAGTTTTCAACACCTTCGTCGTTATCGTCGTACACAACAAGAGAGAAGAATAGAAGCGCGACAGATTTACACTTCCCCTCCTGCTCAGGTTAGATTTGACATTCAATTTTATTATTTTTAATCTAAAAAACGTCTGTTTCATTTTAATGACATCTTCATTAACTACTTTTATATCTATCTATATATGTGTATGTATTTGTTTAGTAATTGACTTGTTATTGTTAAAAATCAATCACAATGCATCTTAACTGGTTATTCATCACTTGTTTGCTTGTCCTTTTGTCTGTTGCCTTGACAACGAGAACAGTCGATGCTAGCAAAAAATCAAAGGAGGAGAACGAAGAAGAGCAATCACGTTCAACAGATACCGATAGTGATACTGATACGGATTCAAACGATGATGATGATGACGATGACAAAAAAGGTAAGACTATCGACAAGTCATTTTTCTAATCTAGAAATAGAAAAAAACAAATTTCTATAATAACTTTAGTTAACTAACATTTTTTTTAATCTTCAAAAAAAACTAAGAATAAAAATAAACAAAAAGACAATTAGAAGATCGTATGAAGCAAATTTCTTTCTGCTTATTTTTCTTTTTTTCTTCTATTCAAATATATGTTATTGTGAGATCGTTCTTTTTTCTGTTTTGCCTGCTGATATTTCAGTAGTGTTTGTTCCACGTGAAAAAGCTTCGATTTTTCTCTCATACAATGAATGCGTACGACGAATGAATTGTGGTACATCACGCAAGGAGGAATGCAGCGAAGAATGTGCTGTTGGTAAGTAAACATCGAATAATTATATTGATATCATATTAAAACTATCAATATATATGTTTATTTATATAGGCAACACAGAAGAAGAAATGGAAGAGTATACTGAAATCTTCGAACATATTGAAGAATATCGATCAAATTCGAAGACATCATCAGTAAAAAAAACAAATAAAAAACAACAAGAATCATCATCTGACAGTGATAGTGATAGTGATGATAGCGATGATAATGGTGAAGAAAGTGATGATGGTGAAGATAGTGATGGTAATTCAACAGCATCAGATCTTGAGAGTGATGCTAGTAGTGAAGAAGAAGATGAAGATGAACCACCGGCTAAACACAAAAAAGCACAATCGTCTACAACAAAACAATCAACAAAACAATCATCAAAACAAACAACAAAAAAGAAATAAATTATTGAAAACAGCCTGTGTGAGAATGCTACCCGTTAATTTTTACCTATATCTAACCTAAATGTTCATTTTTTGTTAGACTAGAACATATTTATTTTATTTCTTCTTCTTCTTCATTTTTTGAGTTGCCAACTCAACAATCATAACCTCATTAACCTCTTGATGTGGTGGTGTCTTTCATTGTTGTACGTTGGTTTTTTTTTATATATCTATCTATTTTACTGATGGCAGCTTTATACGATCATTCTCTTACTCTCTCTATCTCTCTCTTTCTCAACTCACTAAATTGGATACAAAATGTCTTTGAAATATATACAAATATATCTCTTTATAAATTTATATTTAATTATTCAACTTATTAATTTTAGTTGTCTTCATCTCTCGTGATCGTGCTTCAATCTTTTTATCCTACAACGAATGCATGAGGAGGATGAACTGTGGTTCAACAAGACGCGAAGAATGCAGCGAAGAATGTGCAGGCGGTAAGACATTTTTGCATATATATATATATACTGTTTATGTATTACATTCATTTGTATGTATTTGATAGGCAATACGGAAGAAGAAATGGAAGAGTACGCTGAAATCTTTGAAAGTCTAGAAGATTATCGTACTGATGTAAAGAAGGGTAATCAACCAAAACGTAAAAATGAAGTTTCTGAGTCGGATACTGATTCTGATTCTGACTCAGACTCGGATACGGAATCGGATAGTACCAGTGACTCAGATTCTGATTCTGAATCAGACTCCGATTCAGACAGTGAATCGGATACAGACTCTGATACCGATGACGAAGAAGACGACGATAATGACGAAGAAAAAGAAGAAGAAAAAGAATCAGACAGTCGTTCAAAGAAGAAAACCAAGAACGTACGTTCAAACAAGCGTAGTAATCAAAAAGGTGGTAAATCAAAACGTCATAATTAAACAGTGACTTTTTTTTTGACTCTGAAATCCCACCTTTTTCTAGTATAAACGTTTATGTTTGCCATCAAAATTTTACCATGATCACACTCATTAATATCCTTTGATATTAATTCTATGCACACTTTTTATTCTTGCACACAACGCTTTCATGTCGTGACATATTAAAAAAAAAGAAAAAAGAGCATTTCATATACCTTTTTTTTTTCGTAAGACTTCTCTTTAAAAATTCATACAATTTTTTTTTGTGGCACATGTAGTTAGTTGCTTATTTTTTTTTTCCTTTATTTTTGTTTACATTTAATATCTGTTTCTGAGTGATAATATTTCTTTCGTTTATTTTTCTCTATTATGTTTTTATTCTGATTTTATATTTTCTTTTCTCATGCTTAGAAATTATAAAGTTTTTTGAAGTTCCCTAAAGTAGTAGTTAAAAAATGTCTAAAGGACATATTATTGTTCCTTTATTTAGATAATAGAAGACGAAGATAAAAAACATTGAAACCGTGAGAAAAAAGAAAAAAATCTAGTTCATCCTTCTTCATCAAATTGCTCTTCGCCCGGAATATCTAAACAAATAAGATAAATATAAAACAAAAGTTTACAATGCATTCATATAACTAACCATCATTCGCTTGTTGATTTTCATCATCTTCGTTTCCATCTGCTCCTTCACCACCTTCTGCATTAAATTCATCAGGATTATCACCATCTATTTTGATAATTATAAATTAATGATAAGCAATTAAAACAAATTCTACTTACCAGCAGCACCATGGGTTTTATGATGGCCATCTTGATCTATAAATAAAAATAATGAGTTTAAAAATGAAATAAAAATATAAAGAATGCAAAAGAAAGATAAAAATCATAGTATCAAACTCGTTTGAATATTTCTTTTCTACATGATATATATGAACATCAAGAGAGAAAAAAAATTAATAATAAAATTACCTTGTGTTCGACTTTCAGTTCGTTCATCATCTTGATCGTATGGTTCATCTTGTTGTGTTGCAGTTACATTACGTGCAATCCATTTATATTGTATTTGTGGTGGAGCTTCAGAATCTTCTTCATCGGCCTACAATTTAAATTTATTTAATCTATTAATTAATTTTCTAATATAAAATCACTTACAATTGATGTTATATGATAGTCTCCATTTTGTTGATATCCATTTTTAAATACGAATCTACCTTTACCTTTTGGCTACAAAAACAAAAGTAAATGTTTTTTTCTTTCGCTAATTACTTTACAAGTAAACTACTTACATAATTATCATTAAATTTACCAACATATCGATATTGATTAAAGTGCAGTTGGCCGGGACCTTGTCGTTTACCCTCCTTCCATGTTCCGACATATTGTGCTTCTATAAAATGTTTTAAAAATAATAAAAAAAACATTTTTTTTTTCGATATAAAACATACTTGTTGCTGCATAAGTATATGTTCCTTTTCCATGCCTTTGATGATTTTTCCATTCACCTTCATAAGTATCATTATTTGGATATGTATATGTACCTTGACCTTCACGAATATTTTCATTCCAATCACCATCATACTTTGAACCGTCTGGATAGTAGAATATACCTTTACCATGGCGTTTATTTTTCTGATATTCACCTATTTTAGTTTTTTGAAATAAAAATTCTGTAAAATTAACTAAATAAAACTAACCAATATAACGTGCAGTATTTGTGAATCGATAAGTTCCAGTGCCGCTTCGTTTTCCATTTTCATATTGACCTTCAAATGTATCTCCATTAGGTAATGTAGCTTTTCCAAAACCATGACGTTCATTTAATTCATTACGATCACCTTCATATGTCTTTGAAAAAATAATGATATAAGAAATATAAAGATAATACTAATCATACTCCTAAATTGTTCTCATTCTCTTCTTCACCAATTTCTTCTTCATCGTCGGACATTTTGCTTGAATAGGAGAATGGTTGTCGATGAAAAAATGAGTTTTAAAGACAATGATAAACATAGTTTCACATCAGCCATTAGCATCATAAATATACTTAACAACAAAAGGTGTTACCATGCTTACAATTAAACAAAGTGCATTCCTACATTTTCATCAATACATTTACATCAATAGAGGCTGCACCATAGAAAAAAATTTAAAAATGAAAGAATACGTAAAAAAAATGAAACTGATTATCAACTGGACAATAATCTGTTGTATGATTGAATGATTATTCTAAAATGTCAACGACCGTTAAAGTATTTTACTCGAATTTAAAAAAAACTAAATATATAAATTATTTTATTTTTAATCTTTTCTAAAGCCTTCTACGTTTCTTCCTGGCGGTATTACTAGTCTGAATAATAAAGATCTTGCATTAGCTCCACCATATATCTTCGTAATTATTCTATGCTGTCTTATATTAATTATCATTATATTGATTCTTATTCGAGAATGTCTAAAAGTAAAATATAATAAATTATAATGATTTCTTTAATTAATATATATTATATTTATAATTAAAGAATCGTGGTGTGTTAAAAAATTGTTGTGAGCAAAGAGGAAGTGGTATTCAATGTTTGGGTTGTCAAGAATGTTGTGTAGCATGTGCTGAAACATGTGATTGTTGTCATACAACATCTATTGAATCATGTTTAGATGCATGTTGTCCAAAACGAGGAGTAAATTTAAATAAAATTTGTAAAACAATTTTTTTTTGTCTTTTCAATACGTTTAGTCAATTGAATTTGCTGATCTTATTACATGTGAAGCATGCTGTTATGGCGAAGGTTGTGCTGTAAGTGAAAACTTCTATTTTATAGATAAGCAAAATATTGATTTGTATTTTAGTGTTGTGGTACTGTTTGTGTTTGCGCACCTAAAGATACTGAAACGGTCAATTGTTTATGTTGTGGTTGTAAACAACAATATCCTCAACAATATCCTCAACCACTTATCAACGACAGATAATTATCCATAAAAATATAAGATCTTTTTTTTCTTCCAGTATTTGAATGTGTTTAGCATTTTTTTTATATTAATCAAACATTACTATTAAAAATCTCATTTTGTTATTTGTTTTACTTCTGTATACATATAATTGATAGAATCAATTAGGATGCTTTTTTTCTATCTTTAGATAATCTTAATCATGACATCATCTATGGAAGATTATTTTCGAACTGCTTTAAGTAAAGAATTGGCAGTGTAAGTAAACAATAATTATCTTATTTAATGATTTTTAATTTCTTTAAGTGCACCACCGGAACGTGAGCATGAGCATTTATCATCAACTTCACGATTGTTGGAAAAACAACGTGAAGTCACAGAAGCGGAATCATTATTAACCAACCAGAAAGAAGTATTTTGTTATTATAAAAAGATAATTTATATTTCATTATTTATAGGAATTTAAATTAAAAATGCAAAGTTTAAAAATGCGTCGCGAGAAGCTTAATTCAAAAGAACATGAATTACGCGAAAGTTTAGCTAATTTCGAAAAATATATCAACGTAAGTAATTTATTTGTAAAAAAGGAATATGGAAAAGAAAATCTTTTTTTAGGAACTTGATTCCAAAAAAATGCGTGCACTTAAACGAGCTCATGATGAACGTGAACTTGCATCAGTAAAACAAAAAGATATTGAAAGATTACAAGCTGAAATCGATGAATTAAGACGAAAACGAGAAGAATTAACAACACGAAATGCTAAATATGGTGAACATAGTAAATATCTTGAAAAGGTATATCTTCCTATTTTCTAATAATTGATTGATTTATTCGTTATCGTTCAATTTTAGACTGTTGAATTAGCTGATGAATTTCAAGAAATTCGAGAATTAATCGATCGTTATACAACACTATATACGAATAAAGAAGTAAGAATTTCAATTTGATGTACAATTGAAAAAATATTCTATTTTGTTTTTATTCATTAGTCCTTATTAGAAATTCAAACTCAACGTGAAGAACAATTAGAAATGTTACGTCGAAAACGAGATGCATTTATGCAGGTTAATAAGATTTTATTGTCTAATATGATTAATTAATTTTGATCTGATTGATATATGTATAGAAAACGAGTAATGAAATTTTAACATTAAATAATCGTATTGGTGATTTACAACATCACCTTGAACAAGCGGAAATTGATGCAAGACGCGCTGAAAATGATTGGATTTTTATTCAATCGACTGCAGCTGAAAAAACATTACTACTTGGCAATGTTATCTTGTATATTTTCATTTTCATCTTCTTCTTATTATTTCTTATATTTTATTTTTTTCGTAGAGCTGTACGTAATTTATATCATCTTGTACTTCGTCAACAAAAAGTTGATAAAGATGAAAGTCAAGACATTATAGATCCAGTAAAAAGAGTTCGACAACAATTAGAAAAAGTAAAAAATCATTGTGAATATTTCAATTCATTCCATATTTGTTATTCTTAGGTTGAAATGTTTATTCACGATTTTACAGCTATCACACACGAAATGAAACGTGGTGATCAAGCGAAAGCTAGAATGAGTTAAATGTAGAATTTCTATTTATTTTGTACTGATATTTTGTCCTAATAAACTTCACCAAAGATATCTCTTAAATGCTCAATTCGAATTTATTCATTGAATGTTTTAAAACAATAAACTACTTTTACTTGTCATTATGAATATCATTGCTTGTTTCATATTACTCATTTTTTTCTTCCCAGTTACAACAACAGATTTGATGCATGTAATTTTTAAAATGATGATGCAATCTTTGGGAATAAAATAAGACACACATTAGAGATAGTAAAATTACATAGACAGAAAGAGTAACAATCTTCAATGAACGCCATCAAGTATATACTCATTGTTTCTACATCAATATGCTTACGTAAGAGACAAGATACAAACAAAACAGCATTTTCATTAGTCGTTAGAATCGAAGTAACAACAAGTATGTCAATTGACCTTTCTTTCCTTTTCTTCTCTCTTCCTCCTTTATATATGTTCATTGTATTACTATTGTAAAATATAAAAAAAAAAAAGAAGAGTTGTCTTTTCTTTTCACATCAAATCCATCAACCACTTATCATTGCATGCAATAGCAACGATGCAGGTGAGTGAAACCGGAAGGGTGTTATTTTATGACCTCGGAATTTGATAAAATAAGAGGCTGTTATATTATGTGATTGATATCAAAATTGATAACGCCACACGCACTTGTCTGACACCTTAATTTCTTTTTCTCTCTCACGATAAATATCTATATATGATCGTTGTTGAACAGCCGGCAGAGCTAGTTTTTTACACTTGTCAATCATCATGATCATTAGAAGAAGAAAAAAAAGTTGAGCGTTATAATTTAATGCTAATGTTGATCGCAACAGGTTTATGTTTTATTTTATCTACTTAATTGTTTTTATATTAGTATGAACGGTAGGTTATATTTCTTCTTTTTTTTCCTCTATTCTCAGGAGGTAACGTCTGTTGTCATTGAGTACTTGTTTGATCGCTACATGATATATAGAAATTACTACTATGATAAGCTTGGGTCAAATGTACGCATTTCTATACATATAGCGAATAGTATAGGTCAATTTCATTTGAGAACAAAAAAGAAATGTAATTATAGCATGATCATGGCAGGTGAAAGGTGTCAAATAGGTAGGACAAAAAAAAAGCATTTTGACAAGTGATCAAGTCAGGGCGTAAGTAGATGTGGTGTTAATTCATTGCGTGCATCATCATGAAATTCATTCATATATCTATATATCTATATATTGCATGTAGCCAATGATAACCGGATATCTCGTATACAGGATATTATATATCTATCTCTCTATCTATCTATATATATGTAGCACTATTTGTTTTGAGAGGTTGTTCATTCAAGTTTATTTTATATCTTTTCTATGACTCGTCAAAAATTGTTATGAAATGATGCGTACAATTATTCTATACGTGTTCTTGAGATTTCTATTGTAATAATTTAAGTAGAAAAAGAGACAGGGAAAGAAAATATGACACCATCTGAATGTTAATCAATGAGAACGTCATTTGATGAGTAGTAGTAGTAGAAGACATGATTTTAATCAGCCACATTGATAGTTATTACTTTCGTTTGATGTTGTTCAAGAGGCGAACTTATGTTCATGTCTTCGTCTCCATATCTAAGAATTGAATGGCGATTGATGATGACCCGTGAAACGACCTTTCATGGCTCATTCCACAGTAGAAGTTCAATTTTAATTGAAAAAAAATAATCCAACAATAATCGAACGATTGATTAATATGAAGAAGCCAGATATGAGTATATGCGATTGTAGTGCTTCTAATGGAAAACAACTCTAATTCTCCACCTTCTTCTTCTTCATTATTCTTCATTCTTATTGTTTATCAACACGTACTCTTCACTATTTGTAATGAGAGTCTGCATTTTTTCGTGTAATTAAACATTTGACAATATATATATGTATGTCTGTATGTATAAGATTTTGTCATGAAGAATTGGACCGCCGTTTTGTTTAACCTGTCTGTATGACCTTTATCAATTCATTGCTGTCTCATATGTCGTCTATTACTACTACTTGAAAGGGAGTAAGAAATTCAAGAACACACCCAAAGGTGCCAATCACCATTATTATCATCATCATTATCATCATAGTTTTAACTATTCATTACTTTTCTTACAGTCTATAATAATCAACAGAAGTTCTCATCTCTGTTGTCCCTCGAAGTGCCGCACTCTAATATATATATAGATGCATGTATGTATACTTATGACATTTTGTAAGACACCTCTTCATCAAGGTTTTTTATTCATTCTGTCTCTTTTTATCGTCATTCTGTCGACGATTGTGTGCGTATGTATAGATGGTGAAACAAAGATTCCACTTGTGTGTATGTTATGATACTTGCACACGCCTATACTCTCTTCATTCATTATGTAATCGCTTCACATGCACTATGTGTGCATCACGACCACCACTGTTGTTCTGTGAAGGACATTAACAATATGACTAATACAATCTTCTATTGTACTACATATAGTAATATATACACATCCTCGGAATTGGCGCGTCATGCTAGTGAGGTAACTGTTCACGCTTTCCATATATTGACCTTCACCATGCGATTTGTATATATTTTTTCTTTTTTCATTTTGGTTCATTATGTATGTGTGTCTATGAGAGAGAACGAGTGAATCTGTTTATCTAATCATGCTAGTCATAGTGTGCGTGTAATCATTTAGAATAACAATTGAAGAGAAAAAAAAAGTTGTTGATTTTCCACATGCAAATGAATATAAGTCTGTCATTCGTTAACGAGTGTTTATCTCAATCTGGCACCATCACATGACATATACATATATGAGCAAGAATAACTAACTGTTATTCTCATGAATAAATTAGAATGTTGAAATAGGCACCTGATACTCAATCATATAAATAAAATACGAAGCAAATTATCAAATTTCGATGAGAACGAACAACATATTCTTGTTTAGTCAGTCCTTCCAAAAAAAAAAAGCTATTAGCACCATTTTTCTCATTTTCTTTTGTGTCTACAAATAATTATTTCTCATCGAGTTATGAAAAGTATCCCATCACTAGGACACTTTCGCTTCAATTCATCGACGCGTGAATATACAATATGACACCTGTTCATGGCAAATTAATTAATCAGATAAAGAATAGAAAGAAACCTAGACAATTGCCTTATTATCCTGACTTGAGAATGATATATACATATTTTATATATAGTAGCATAAGACCAACACTACTCTTTAAAACATACTGAACTTGTTTCTAATCTGAACAGTTAATATTCTGATTGTACAATAAGAGAAAAAAAGAGTAAGAGAGAAAAAAAAGAAAGAATCAATCTTGTTGAACCTGCCCTCCGTGTATGCATATATGTATGTATATATGTATATACATGCATTGGCTCAGACGAAGGAAGGGAGGAGGAGGTTATGTGTGCAGATGCACAAACAACACTCGACTAGTGGGTTGTATCTGCTTGCCTGGCAAATAAATGAACGTAAAGCAGGAAATGTATGATGGATAGAGAAAAACGCTAGTGTGTATGTATGTATATGTCAGGTTAGATCAACGTTATATAATTAGAGAAAGAAAGAGTTCTCTGCGTTTTTTTTCCTTCGATTTTTTCTCTCTTCTTATAGTTTTTTTTTTCTTGTCCATAAGTCGACAATCGAGAAAGAAGATTTGTTCCTCTTATAAAGAAAAGAAAAGAATGAAGATGAACATCATATCTTGATGTATGTGGGTGAGTAAATGGGATCGATCGGATTAGCTTATTTTCATTCTTTTCTTCATTGTATACCAAACAAAAAGATTCATATAGACAGATTGTTTCAATGATGAGAACTTGATACTCAAGTATATATGTAAATCCGGTTTCATACTAGACGGATGTCCTTCTCCTTCATAAATATACATACATATAGATTCACATATATACTACGGCGTCGACTATTTCCTATTGTGTATACATATAGATCAGCTTCTCTCTAACCCTCTCACTCTTTTTTTCTAGATAGATAATATGTTCAGTTCACCAACATTATCTCGTTATAATAAACAACAATCAACTATTGACATGATGACGACGAAACATATTATTGATGAAAAATCTAAAACAATTGAACAATTAAAAACTATTATTGATGAATTAAATTTACGACATGAAAGAAAAGAACGTGAATTACTTAAACGTATTGGAATGTTGTATAATGATTTACAACAAAATAAAAAGAAAATGGCACATCTTATTTATAGACATCAACAACAAAAAAAGGTAAAATAATTACTTTCTTTCTTTCTTTCTTTCTTTTTTCTAAATGATATTTATTTGATAAGAAATATAAATGAAAATAAACAAGATATTTTAAAAGGATTAATTGAATGTATCCTTTGGGATTTAATTTTAGTTTAAGTTTAATTTATTTTGTTTATTTAACATAGACAGATTTAGCAAAGAAATGTGTAAATGATCATTTGTTGTTACAACAAAAAATAACACACACACACACAAATAAGAATAGTCGATAACTTTTATTTTATGATTCTTAATTTAAATAAGCTTTCTTAGTCAATATATATCTGTCTTGCAGACACATTCAAGCGTCAATCATCATATAAAAACCACATGTTTGTGTATTTATTCACTTTGAAATAATAATCAGATCGGCATTTTCTTCGCCGTTTACTTCTGAAAAGACACATGGCCTATCTAAAATGTTGTCTATAACTCAATTACAAACAATTGAACCATTCATTTCTATTCCTTTTGACATGATAGTGTTATGTAAATTGATCAGTTACACAAAAGAAAATTGAGAAGAAGAAGAAGAAGAAGATGAGAAAAAAAACCTTAAGAACAAGAGCTGGTTTCGATCAAAAAGTTAAGTGATAATTGAATGACAAGAAGTAAAAGGAAAAGAAAAGGTTTTAACACCTGATTTGATTGTAATCTCTTTTACATTTAATTGGTTTAGTCTGATGTCTATATATATGTGCGTAGTTGTTTTCCTTTATCAATGGGTGGTGATCGTTGTGAGTGTTGAACGATGGATCAGATCAACATTTATTCACTCTTATTTTTATTCGTTAATGATTTATGGACTATAATAAGAGATATTGATTCATATATAATCAGATAATTAATCTCTTTTCTATCACGGTGAGAACAATATAGATTATTGTTCTTCTAAGTGTGTTAGTTCGTCTACTTGACGATCGCTATTTTGTTTTTAATAAGATGCTTGTTGAAAACGAAACGAGAAAAAATATAATATCAAAATATCATCTCGAAGAAGCCATTGCTTCTTTTTATAATTTTATTAGATTCTCTTTTGTATGTGCCTGTCTAGGATTTATGATGAAGGATCATATAAAATGTACCTTCAGGCGGTCAGACAATCGCTCCTATACTAAAACAAAGACAGACGACGTCATTTTCTCTTTTGGGTTTCTTTGATGGATTAAAGTAGTAGAAGTGCTAAAGTATGATTATGCGAATAGTATTACCCGAGAAATTGTACAAAAGAATATCTCGAGGCATTCTTTTTTTTGGTAAACGTCAACTATTTTTATAATCAAATTTGAATAAAAAAATCATTCTCATTGTTTTTATTTGATAGACGAATAATGAGAGTAAATTATCACAAGACATTTCCATTCAAACTGATGAGAAGAATTTAATAACAATATGTCCAAATTGTTCAACTGAAATAATACAAACATCTCAATGCAATGTAATATAAAAATTCTTTCATTTCTTTTTGTCTATAATAAATAAATCTTGTCTTAATAGGATATAAATATTGTTCAATGTCTTAGTCAATTAAAATTACATGAACAAAATCAAGAACAGGTTTGTTTTAAATATACATAGAATTTTAATATATTGATTTGATTTTTTAGCAACCAAAATATTATACACTTCAATCTGAAGAAGATGTTGAATATATAGCTGCAACACCTCAACCAACTTTTAATCAATCTTTATCATCACCCACTCTATCTTCAACCGATCGATCATCTACAAGATCATCGTGTTCCCATCATCATTGTTCAACATCATCTACAAAACATAACGAAAGTAGTTCAAGTGCATATAATACAGCTGAAAGTTTACCAAGTAGTACATATTCGGATGAAATGGAATCACTTGAACGTGTTTTAAATGCTGCTTGTACAATGTATACAACACATGATAACCTTGAACATACAATAAAATTACAAGAAGAATTATTTCGACAACGTTTACGTTTACGTGGTATAACTGTTAATGACAATCTTAATGAATCATCATCAAGCGAACATTTATATGATAATATTGATGGTGAAACGAGTGATATAGAAAAACAAACAACAGTATATCGAAATCGTTTAATATCAAGTCATCGAAAGAAAACAAAACATAATCTTACTCTTAGTACAGATGATGATGAACAACAAGAGAAAGTCAAGGCAATAAAACAAAATAAAGTACGATTTATTGATCAACACCATTCAGTTAATAAACGTAAAACTGTCAAAACAACATCAAAAACTAATCTTATTAAATCACCTAATAATAAACGTTATCATTCAAATACACCGACAAATAAAAAACTATCATTACCATTATCATCAAATATGTTAACTGTAACTATTACTTAATATTTTGACTTCTTTTTTCTTTTCTTTTTCTATATGTTGTAAACGCCTTATTCCCTCTTCTATGAACGTATATAGAAAACATTTATTTAAATATATGTATTGTTTTACACATATCTTCGTTTTATTACAAATATGAATTCAATCGACGATCGATTATAATGTAGATAATGTCAATCTATCTTATACTAAATAAGAAGTCAATTAGATATACTTTTTATCTCTATTTTTATTGTGATGATGCACAATAGTAACTGTGAAAATGTTTGGTAATAAAGTTATAAAACAATCGGTTAATCATTCAAGTACTACCTTAGATGCACAATTCATAAATATGACAATGTTGAGAGCTATTTTCATAAGATATTTCTTATGAATGTCTTCAGGCAAACAAATTCAATGTATAGAATTTCTATAAATATTCTAATAAATCTTAATAATAATCAACATAAGAATCGTCGATATTTTCTATTTTACAATGAAGAAGAAAAAATGTTGTATGTTATTGTGTTATTATTAATTATTTGGTAATATTAGTATGTTATGAATCGTCTTACAAAACATGTAATAAGAAAATATATGATTAATTCTGAGAATAATTAAATGTCTTAGTCATATTGAGTGAATAGACAAACATATTATCTAATCAAACGGAGAAAGAATCTATTTTTGCATAGGAAAATGACAGATGGAAGAAAAAACAACTGACATAAACCTATATATAGACTTAGATGGAAGTATATAAATAAATCGTAGGCTACTCACTCTATTTGATCAGTCAAATATATAGTTTTTGTCTTTATGATTCCTAGTTGAGATCTTTCGTTATTTCTTAATGAATCTTCTTCATTATCATATTCTTATAATCGTTTGTCATCGCCATCAATGTTCGATAGTTTTAATAAATTGATGACAACAATATATCTACTTTGTTTTCATCGTTATCTGAGATCTGTACTGTTAATTCGAAAAAGAAATCAAGTATTATGAAACCTATCTGTACGTCAACAGTAACTTCCTCCCTAACGATATCAATAAAAACATATGTCAATAAATAACAAAGAGATATTGAATATAAATGATTATTTTTATCTATGTACATACAATCAAAAATTAATCGAATCATACAATAGCTTTATAAAAATTTCATATGTATCTAATAGAGTTTCTTTGTTTTTTTTGGTTTATCAACGAATAATTTTTAACTACGTCGTATTGTATTGATACACGCCTATGCTGATATTTTTGTGTTGTGTATTTCTTTTTCGAATATACGTATCTTGATTAATAATCTAGTTATATAAGAAAATAGGCATACAGTCAAAGTAAAAAGAAAGCCACAGTATTTTACCATCTGTCAAATGTGATTTATAGATTTAACACAAAAATAAAATTTTCTTTTATGAAATTATTGTAATGAAAATTTAATTTCGTATTTTTTTATAGTTAATTATACTCAATAATATAATGTACATGCTTATTATTATGTATATCTTGTTTTTGTCAATATCAAATGATGTCCGATCAAACAAAATAATGTCTTGTTTGTTTCTCTTATCAAACATATTTTTTGACAGGTTGAATAGTATACTTTATTGGTGATAATTGGTGACGTAATCATATCTTACCTGTGCTTTATAGCGTTCGTATCCTCAAAGGACGTTCTTTTCGTCCTTCAATACCGTACTTATCGTGTTTAAAGAACGTGCTTTCGTATTAAAATTATACATATTTTCGACTAATGAAAATGTTTTTCTTTTTTTTTCATCGCTTGAATGACACTATTTTTCATCTATTCTACTATTATATAAGGTGCCCTATTTGATAATACTACATCAATACTTTTTTGATTTATAGAAAGATCGGTCGCCACGATGCTGTCCACAAAACAACAACGGGCGATAGAACAGGAAGTTGCTTCAAATATGCGTCAATCAAAAAATAACAATGCTAGTCAGATATCTAATGTAAAATTATTGAATAATACTTTACTTTCAATAATAATTTTCCTTTTGTAGAACAGAGAACCATCGCCACCACCATCATACAATAAAATGTTTAGCGCAAGTCAGCCGTCTAAACCTCGTCCGTTGCGATCAATGGGTTCACAAAATGCAAATACTGGTGATTTTGTGAAGCCGGAATTACCTGAATTTTTACAAAATATGGGTCCAGGTATTTCACCATTAAAAGAAAGTCAACCAATTACAGTATCTTGGCATAATGTATGGGCACAAGCACCTTCAAAACAAAATGCTCTTATGCGAAAAATTAATGGATGCTTAGGTAGAGAAGTATCCCAACCAAAAGATTTATTAAAAGGAGTTAGTGGTATTGTTAAACCAGGAGAATTGTGTGGTATTATGGGAGCTAGGTCTGTAAAATTAAAATAAAATAAAATATAATAAATTTAAATTTGAAAAAATAGTGGTGCTGGTAAAACAACTCTATTGAATATTATAACTCATCGTCGATCAGGTAAATTAAAAATCGATGCTGATGTTCGAATTAATGGTCGTAAAATGAAAAAAGATATTTCTGGTATATCAGCATTTGTTCAACAAGAAGAATTATTTATTGGTTCATTAACTGTTCGAGAACATCTTCGATTTCATGTATGATTTTATTTCAAAAGATATCAACATATATTTTTCTTTCTTTCTCTTTCTATAGGCGATGCTTCGTCTTGGAAAAGAATTTACAAAAGACGAACGAGAAAATCGTGTTGATGAAGTTATTCAATTTGTATGTCATCATTTTTCAACCTATTTAATAATATTTAAATTTGGTCATTCTAGCTTAATTTAGGTAAAGCAGAAAATACAACCATTGGTATAACTGGTATTGTTAAAGGTTTATCTGGTGGTGAAAAACGTCGTTTAACATTTGCTACTGAAGTTTGTTGATAATTTTCTAATTAAAAATTTTATATAAATACATTTTTATAGATACTTAGTGATCCTCCATTACTTTTCTGTGATGAACCAACATCAGGTTTAGATTCCTCAATGGCATTTATTGTCGTACAAGCTATGCGAAAATTAGCTGATCAAGGCAAAACAATTATTTGTACTATACATCAACCATCATCAGAAATATTTTTTCTATTTGATAGGTATAAAAATATATTTTATCGTTGTTTTTAATATACATATATATTGTTTGTATATGAATAGATTATATTTATTAGCTGAAGGTCGAGTTGGATATTTTGGTTCACTTGAAAAAGCTCCAGCATTCTTTCGACAGTATGTATATATCGAATAAAAAATAAATTATTTCTTATTTTATTAAAGATTCGGTTTGGAAATTCCACGTAATTATAATCCGGCTGATTTTTATATTAAACAACTTGCTATTTATCCAAAAACACGTGAAGAAAATCTTGTACAAATTAAAGTAAAAAATAAATACTTCTATTCGAAAAAATAATTCAGATTAAATTTTAGCGTATTTGTGATGGATATGAAAAATCTCCACAAAATTCACGTTATATGTCAGAAATACTTGCTCTTCATTCAGAAAATCCAGAAGATGATGATAATATACCCTGTTCGAAACTAATTAATCGATGTTGTCGAAAGGGCGATACAGATGATGTTGATGTACAAAATCAAAGAAAATCAAGATATAAAACAAATAGTTTCACACAATTACGTTGGTTAATATGGAGAAATTTTGTTGATATTTTTAAAAATCCGTTTGAAATTCGTCTTCGTATTATTCTTGCAATTGTATGATTATTGATGTTTTAAATTAATAAAAAAATATTCTTATTATTTTTAGTTTCTTGGTGTTCTCATCGGTCTTTTATACATTCAACTTAAATATGATCAAACAGCTGTACAAAATTTTAATTCATTAATTTTTTTAATTATTATTAACACATCATTCTCAAATATATTTGCTGTTGTGCAAGTAAATAGATATAGAAACAAAAGAATGATACATAATCAATTTTTTCATTTTCAGAGTTATACAAAAGAATATCCAATATTTTATAAAGATTATGATGATGCTGTTTATCGTGTAGCACCATATTATTTTGCTAAATTTGTAACTGAGGTAAGAAAAATAAACTAATCGATATAGAGAAATAATCCATATGTATGATTTTCTAATAGCTTCCTTTATTTGCAATAACTACTCTTATTCAAGTAGCGATTACATATTGGATGACAAATTTATATACAACTGCAAAAAGATTTTTTATATTTACTGGAATAATTATTTTAACAAGCTTTGCTTCAGTTGGTCTTGGATCAGTTTTATCTGTTATTGCTGATTCACCAGAACAAGCTGCAGCATTACAAATTCCAATTCTTCTTCCATTGATGGTTTTCGGTGGATTCTTTTTAAATAATCAGTAATGTTTAATTTATTTTATAATCATATAAAACTTATTGATATTTCAGATCGGGTCAAAAATGGTTAACATGGATTAAATATATCAGTTGGTTTTATTATGGTAACGAAGCATTAATCATAAATCAATGGACAGATGTAAAAACATTGCCATGTACCAATCTTGATTCCGGAAGTCCTTGTATTCATAATGGAGATGAAGTTTTACAATTACTTGGTTTTAGTAAAGTAAAAAAAAACGATATTCAAATTTAATTCGAAATCTAAACATGTCAATTTTCATTTTTTTTTAGTCTCATCTTGGACGTGATATTGGTTTAATTATTGCAATATGGATTGGTTTACGTGCTCTAAGCTTTTTTCTTTTATTATTGAAAGCACGAAAACATAAATAGTTATTTGTTCTCTTATTTTTATTTTTATATATAAAATAGCGCTTTGTTATTCTATAACGTTATTGTTTTATATATATATATTATATTAGTATATTTTCTATTTTTATTTCACTTTACTAATTGACATGCTTCATGTATGTCTTCTAGTTGGCGATCGAAAATTTCCAATAAAAAATTCGAAAATAAACAGATTTCTAAAACTAGCGTAAAAACTACAACAACGGATAATACTTATGAATCTTCACAACAAACATCGACAATAAATACTGAAATTAGTACAGTAACACGGTAATAACTTAAATTTTGCTTCTTTTTAATTTTCTCTTACACATCAATCATAATAAAGAGAAAAACAACAAGTACTTCATGCGAATACATTAGAAACACCAATTGAATGGGAACAAATATTAGATCGAGAATTTCAATCAATTGATATCGATGCAGATGGTTATATATCTGTATCTGATATGCAATCTGTATTGAAGTAAGTCCAAAGAAATTTGTAAACAAAATCATTTATTATACAACGATACTATCATGAAAACAATGATTTCGTTTTCGTATGTACAATATTTAGTCCCGACATCTATAAACATCGAAGATTAATTTATTTCTTAATTGAATGAGCACGTGAAAATCATATATTTTGACTAAGGTGTATTTGACCTTGCTGAGTACTCGTAGAGAAAGAGAGGGAAAAAAATGCGTATTTTATTAATTACATAATATTATTTGTTTTTATTTTTAAGAAATTTTTCTCATATTTATAATTCAAATGAATTAATATTACGTATATTTGAAGAACTTGATCTTAATCATGATCAACGAATATCTAAGCAAGAATTTAAATCATATAAAAATATTTTATTAGATCGAGAAAAACGTTTTCATCGATCAACATTTGAAGAAAAATTTGATTCAATATTTATTTTATTTGATCGTAATCAAGATAATTATATCTCTCGACATGAAATTCGTGAAACAATGCATAATTTAGGTGAATATATTGATGATAATTTACTTGAAGAAATGATGCAAACAGCTGATATAAATCATGATGATCGAATAAGTCGAGAGGAATTCAAAAAACTTCTTTTACAATTATATTCAAACAAAACGAAATAATTTTTGTTGAATTTTTTTATTTAATAACACATAATCAATTTTGTTTTCTATACAACATTAAAATACTTTACGATCAAGAATAGTTGTTCGTTTTCTTAATATATCATCAATTGTTTCATCTTTTTGATAGAATTCTTTACGTAATTCATTTAATTGTGCTTCAATCATATCTTTATTATTATTAGATGTATTCAATGGTTTATATTCTTTCGGTGTTGTTGATTGTGTTGGCATAAATGGTGTTGAATTATTATTAGTAGGATTGTTGTTTGTTGTTTCAATATCCATACCACGTAAACGTTGCTCTTGAAGTTCACGTTCTTTTTTATTTAATTCCTCTTGAGCTATTTGTACCTAAAAGAATACGAAAAATAATTTAATGAGATTGTTTGTTTTTGTTTTTTACTTTAACACGATTAAATAATTCTTCAAGTAATCTCATTGATTCTAATTTTCTATGAGCAATTAACATTTTTCGTTCTTCAATTGCAATTTTCATTGCTAAAGTTTTTTCTTCATGTTGACGTTTACGTTCAAGACGTTTTAATCGTCGTTTTTCTTCTCTAAAAAAATGAATTTGTTTTTGAAAAAACATTTCATTTCTTTTATTTACCGTTGTCGACGTCGAGTATCTTTTGTTATATCTTTACTACCAACTATATCTTCAGCTTCAGCATCTTGTAATTCAATTCTTAAACTATAATTACACATACATTTATAAATTTCTATATAAGAAGATTTTTTATTACCGTTCAATTTCTCTTCGACGTTCATCTTCATCTTTAAGTCGTTGAGTATCAGCTTGTTTTAATTTATTCATTTCGGTTGTTTTCATTTGTTCAATACGACGTTTTTTAATCATTCTATCAGATAAATGTCTTGTACGATCAAAATCTACCTATAAATTAATAGTTATATGTATACATTCTTTTTTGATAAATGTTTCTTTTACTTTAATACTCGCTGTATAAGCTGTATTTGTATCATCAATTAACATTAATTTCATATTTCGACATGCATCCATTGCTTTAACAAATCCAATATATTCATTATATTGAATATATGCATCAAATGTTGTATCTTGTTGTATAGGAACATTAGTACCATTTAATAGACGATATGGATCAAGAATTGGAATATCGCAACAACGAATTTCACCAAATACAGCAAATACTTGTTGAAGTATTTCAATTGATGGTTTATTTTCTTTATCATCTATATTAGAATTTGTTGATGATAATGGTAAACCAGTAGGTCCAATAGCTGCTGCAGCAGCTTGAACAGCTTGCATCGGATTTTGTTTTGCCTAGAGAGAAATCATTGATATATTAATTTTATGCTTTTGGTAAAATATAATTTAATTACCTGAAACCATCGTATAGGTAAACCTTCAACATGAATTGTATCTGCACGTTCACCAGGCTTTGTTTCATTCATACCTTTACTTTCACGAAAAAATGTTTCCCATTCAGTTCGTGTTGGATATGGTAATTTAGCATCAGCTGCACGTAAACGAAATTCATGTCCAGTAGTTTCCATACGAATAAGTGCATTATCCAAACGTGTTAAACAACTACGTGCTATTGCTTTTGATTCTAATTCACCTTCAAAACGATATAATTCACCAGCACTTTTTAATAAACGTAGAAAAACAAATTCATCTGGTAAAATTAATTCACGAATTTTATCCATTATTTCCCATGTTGATATTGTTGAACCTGCAACACGCATCGTTGGAGGAATAGGTACACTTATATTAATACGTGCAATTGGTTTTAAATACATATGCTATAGAAGAATCAAAAAAAAATAATGAAATTTTTAATTTAAAGAAAATAAGTTTTTTTTACCAATGATTCACATAGATCACCGCGTTCGCTCAGATCTTTACATTGTGAAATATTTGACATGATTTTAATTAATCTGAAATAAAAAGAACAACGAAATAGTGAAATACTCTTAGATTATTGACTTGTTTTTTTTATTGAACGTGTAAAAAATTCAAAAGTTTTTCCTGTAACAATCGATGGAATTTGTTCAAGTGAAAAATCAATCGATTGTTCAAAACCATTTTTAAGACCAAATATTAGTTGCTGGGCAACACGTTGTAACAATGGATTGTTTGATTTAACTGCTTCATCAAGTTTTACCCATTTACAATCAATAACTTCGTTTGTATCCATTTTAATTGTATCTGTTAAAGCAGATAAACGACAAATAAAATATAGATCAGAACGACCATGTCCACCTATAAGAATGAAATAATTAATATTACTTTTAAAAAATTTACAAATCTACCAGGATGATTATGTACTTGACGGAATGCAATAATTGATTCAAATTCTAATTCAAAAACAATTCATTTTTAATTCAATTAAGAATATTATAACACAAACTTGATTGAATACCAGTTTCTTCAAACACTTCTCGTATTGCACCATCAGCTACATGAAAACAAAAGATAATTTTATAAAATAAACAATTAAATCTTACCAATATCTTCTGAAAGTTCAGTACCTCCTATTATAATATATGTATTCACAATATTAATATGCTCATAATTTAAAATTAAAATACATACCTCCAGGTAACTAAAAAGAAAATAATGAAATATTTTATTATTATTTGTTACATGTTTGTTTTACCTTCCAAAATTCCATATTTCTAACTCGTTCTTTTATAATCAATAATTCATTTGTTTTATTACGAAGAACAGCACCACCAACTCCAACTAAATTATAAAATACGTGTGTTCTAGGCAATCTATAAACTTCATTAAATATATACCTTGATGTCTAAAATATGCATAAAATGTTTTTCGAAATCATTAATGTTTCTAGACATACGTTGCAAATCGTGGTACCAATGATTTTGTTGGTAATAACCATTGATTTAATACAGCAGTTCTTTCTTCAGCATTATGATAAGTAAATCCTTTACAGAATAAAACTAATTTTTATAATTATATAAAGTTATTTTTTTTTCTTCTTTACCTAATTCACCGGCAATTGGTATCACATGTGCATGTTCAATTGGAATCCAGAGCCAGGCAGATGTACGTTTATCTTTTCGCCATTGTTCAAGTGAAGCTAAAATATTTAATACATCTTGTTAATTATGTAAGATCCATTGAATAATAACCAGAAAGTGTTTCTCGAATAGTTTTTAGATCAGATGGCCAATCTGAAATGCGAACACGTGCAGCATTGAATCGATCGATTTCGTGAGGTAAAATAGATTTTTGTGAAAATAATCGACGAGAAAAAATATTCACAGAAGGTCTAAGCATAAAAGGGAACATTTCTGAATGAGTTGTAAGACGGTGACTACTATAAGTTAATAATGACTGACTATCATTCATTTTATTTAGTGTATATACGTCTATTTTCGAACGAATTACGATCTTTCAAGTAGATGTCACTTTAAAAAAGTCTAATAAACAGATTTCTGTCAAAAAAAAAATAGTTGTAATATAATATATATTTATTTTTTCAAAATATTTCTCTGGCTTTTTCTTCTCAATATAAGTGAATCATTATCGAATAATTTATATTTGTTTATTCCTTACTTAATTATTGAAAGTCAATTCTTTACTGTCATTATTAATCAATTTTTTCTTATCTTCATTTGTCCAAGGAAGCAAATCTTTTTATTTTAGATCTTATTAAAACAATGACAACAACACCTGCACCTATAGGTCCTCATAGTCGTAAAAAGGTCTCATATTATTATGACTACGATGTGGGAAATTATTATTACGGGTAAATTGATTAATAAAATTAAAACTTTATTTTTAAAAACTTTCTTTTTAAATTAGACAAGGTCATCCAATGAAACCACATCGTATACGTATGGCACATAATTTAATTCTTAATTATGGTCTCTATCGTAAAATGGAAATTTATGTAAGAATATAAATTAAAAACGAAATTTTCATGCAATAAAATATTCTTCCTTTTTAGCGTCCACATAAAGCATTTGCTGATGAAATGACACGTTTTCATAGTGATGAATATGTTAAATTTATAAAAAATGTTCGACCGGATAATATTATGGAATTTAATAAACAAATGCAAAGATGTATATTTTTATTTTTTTTTTTCATTAATATTTAATTATCTTTTTTTTTGTTTTTGTAGTTAATGTTGGGGAAGATTGTCCAGTATTTGAAGGTGTGTATGAATTTTGTCAAATATCAGCGGGTGGTTCATTAGCCGGTGCAGTTAAACTTAATCGAAAACTAACTGATATTGCTATTAATTGGGCTGGTGGTCTTCATCATGCAAAAAAATCTGAAGCATCGGGTTTTTGTTATATTAATGATATTGTTTTGGCTATACTTGAATTACTCAAGTAAATTAAAAGAAAACGAAAATTTTGTATTATTTTGTTTTTCTCTTTAAAGATACCATCAACGAGTACTTTATATTGATATTGATGTTCATCATGGAGATGGAGTTGAAGAAGCATTCTATACAACCGATAGAGTAATGACAGTATCATTTCATAAATTCGGAGAATATTTTCCAGGTACAGGTGATCTTCGGGTAAGTTTATTAGAGTTTTATTATAAAAATAAAAGTTGATTTTTTACAAAGGATATTGGTGCCGGACGAGGTAAACATTATGCTGTTAATTTTCCATTACGTGATGGAATTGATGATGATACGTATGAAACAATTTTTAAACCGGTTATGACGAAAGTTATGGAAACATATCAACCGAATGCAATTGTATTACAATGTGGTGCTGATTCACTTACTGGAGATCGTCTTGGTTGTTTTAATTTAACTCTTAAAGGTTTATGTTTTTATTCTATAGTAAAATATTATTAACGTTTTTATATTTATTAGGACATGGAAAATGTGTAGAATTTATTAAAAATTTGAATTTACCTTTATTACTCCTCGGTGGTGGAGGTTATACTATTCGAAATGTTGCACGTGCATGGACAAATGAAACAGCTATTGCACTTGATCAAGAAATTTCAAATGGTAAATGTTAATTTTTATTTATAATTTAATTATAGAAATATGTTGTTTTTTTCTTTACTGAAGATTTACCATATAATGATTATTTTGAATATTATGGACCAGATTTTAAATTAAATATAAATCCATCAAATATGCCAAATCAAAATAGTGCAGAATATTTAGATAAAATCAAGTAAATATTAATTAGGACAAAAGAAAATTTGAAAATAAATATGAAATATTTAATTAGAATAAAACTTTTTGATAATCTTCGAATGATACCTCATGTACCTGGTGTTCAAATGCAATGTATGATTTATTTAAAGAAATATTCGATTTTTTTTTGAACTATTATTATATTTAGCTATTCCGGATGATTTTATGGATGTTGATCGAGGTGTAGATGAAGATAAAGATAGTAATCCAAATAAAGTAAAATAAAAAAAAAATAATGATCATTATTATTATTATTTGATTTTATTAATTTAGCGTATTTCACAAGTACAAAAAGATCGTCGTATTGTTGATGAACGAGAATTATCAGATTCAGAAGATGAAGATGGTGATAAACGACGTAATCATTCAAATGCAAGATACATTTCAAATAAACGTAAAGCTAGTTCGGATTCTTTAAATGGTATAACACTCAATGGCAATGCAAAAGTTTTAGCTACTGATTCAGTTGTAAATACAACCGTTACTCAAATAACAAAGACTACAGAAGCAACTGTTGTTGTTCCATCGGTAAATGGAAATGAAATGTCAACAGAAAATTCAGTTTTAACAACAACAACAACAACAATTGTAAATGGTAATGTAGGAACAGAAGCTGTCACTGCTCCACCTAAAGATGGTATGGATACATCAGAGTAAGTTTTATTTTGTATATATATATTAATTATTAGATAATTTTTTTTGAATTTTTGTTTTTCAGAACATCGTAAATTATTTAGTATTTTTTTTTTTGCTTTTATACAAATAACAAAATATTTCAGAAATGGATTCCACAATTATAGTTGCTTTTTGTATCTGTGTGTATCTTTTTAATCATTTGTTGTAATCTATTCTTTTCGTTGTCTAAAGAAATAGAAGAAAAATAAATTCTAAAATCTTTTATTCATACTCTATACTGTGTTTTTAATGAAGTTTAACTTTGTCTTCTATTTTTTCTTTGTTCTGTGTTTGTAAAAACAAAAAAAAATATCTGTGTGTATGTTTATGTAATAAGAACAAGAAGATACACTTTTAAATATAAATCAATTTATAATTGTCATAATAAGGTCTCGCTTTCTATTCGATTTTTCTAGAAGGGTATAACATATTGAATGAGTAAATTTTTTATTCATGCATAGTATAACAGACATTTATATGACCAGAAGAATCGTAAATGTTTATAGGTCATCGAAGGCTATGAATTATGGAAGTGTTGAGAGCTGTGTTGTGTATAGATAGCAGATGTCCAAACATTACTTTTTGGAGAAGATACAGCTGTTGCTTTTTATTACATTTCTATCAATGCGAAATCTCTAGTAAGATGAATTCTCTATTAAAGATTTGTTCTTATTTATTCAACCAATGAAATTTTTTCCATTATAAAACTCGTTGTGCCTCTACAATGGTTTTCATGTTTTCCTTAATTTGTTGAATTCCTTTAAAGGGTGGCTACAGTCCATGTTACTTTGGTTTCTATAGTCATTTATGTTAGGAAAAAACCGAAATTATATTATGTTACCAAATATTTAGCGTCCTTATTGTTTTTCTCTTCTGAAATAATTGTTTTTCATTGGATATATGCACGCTGATTTCTGAATGGTTAACTATAAACTATGTTTAAACAAATAATCGATCCTTTCTTTCTTCCAGAATAGGGAAAAATTATCTGTTTAACCATAAAGTCAGTTCAAACAAATAATCGATCCTTTCTATCTTCCAGAATAGTGAAAAATTGTTTTGATTGTTTATTCGTGCATCGCATCCCATATCAATAATATTATCATGTCTTCCTCAAAAAATAAAGATTATGACGTCGAAAAGATTGTTTCCAAACGAACTGATGGAAAAGGTCAAGTTTTCTATTTAATAAAATGGAAAGGTATATAAATACAATTCAATATTCATTGAAAATCATATCATAATGTTTCATTTTCTAGGATATTCTACAGCAGATAATACATGGGAACCAGTAAATAATGTAAACAATTGTCCTGAATTGGTTAAAGCATTCGAAGCTGAACATGCAGCAAAAACGAAAACTAATTCGAAGAAAACTGAAGCTCGTGCTAGTACTAGATCAGCTCGATCTAGTGTATTATCATCGACAAAATCAACCAATGACAATAAAAAACGTGATCGTAGTCGTAGTGCTCCAAGTCGTACAAATAATAAAAGTCTCACTAGTCATAATAGTAATTTTACTGATGATGAAGATGAAAATGATGATGACGACGATGATGATAATAATAATTATTTACCAAAGAAATCAACTAGATCACCAGCATCAAAACGATTACGTAAGAGTACATCTGATACGGAAGTAACACCTTCGATCAATAGTAATGATAGTGATATACTTGATATAGCTAAACTTGATAATATACTTGATGTTCGTCGAAATAAAAAAACAAATACATTAGAATATCAAATTCAAGTCAAGAAAAATAAAAAAACATTTTGGGTAAAATCATATCAATTAACTGACGATTATCATCAACAAGTTATTGACTTTCTTGAAGAAAAATACGTTTAAAAATTTTTATTGAAAAAAAAAAATTTCAAAACTATTTTTCTCTTCATTAGGATTTTGTTTTGTTTTTCTTTTCCTTATATTGTACTATACATATTATGTTATGATTTTGTGTGTATATATGTATATGTTTTGTAAAAGGCATATTGTCTTGATCATGATGTAACTCCGTTTTGTCAAATATGTTGTGTTGTTTATCTATAGCGTTCTTCCCTTTTTTTTGTTATTGTGTTTATTGTTTAATTCATTCATAACTATTGAAATACATATACAGCTGATTCATTACTTTGAATATTTGTTAAAAGATTCACTAATAACAAGATTAAGTGATAATGTGATTGAAAGAGAAAATGGGCAAATACAAGTATGGATAGAAACTAGTTCATAAAATTCAAATAACAGATGTTATTGATACTTTGTAATTAATCATATAGTGATAAAACAAATTCAAGTGAAAAGAAATCATAGAGTTTTTATCTAAAATTTTGCTAGTAATCAGATCTTTTCAAATGAACTTTAACTGACGTCTCAGTCACCGCTCTCGGAGCCGATATGGAACTGTCAGACTTCTGTTTTCTACCGAAAAGTATTGAAGAGGATAGAGCAGATGATCGAGCATTGATTAACGGTAGTCATTCAATAATTTCGTTTAAAAATATGAGAAATGATAAAGATTCAATATCTGTTACATCAAATCCATGATTAAAATTTCGTTTTTATTTGAATATAAATACTTTACGTAATATCCGTAGACATCATATGTTACATAGTATTTGTATTTGAAAAATGATACAGCATTCCCAGCATTTCATTTTAATCTTGGTTAAAGTAAAGATTTTATTGAAATACTTGATCGGTATTTACAATTTGAAAAGTAACGATAAGTGCATTCGATTAAATGAATTTATTTTTCGACATTCCATTTAATTGGAATCAGATTCTCGTGCAACACATTTTTTTAAAGATGCACTCCTTGGTGTAAATGAATTTATGCCAACAAGTGATAATCTAGATGGTATTATTGACTCAGACAGGTGGCAATAGTACAATATCTCCACCTGGCTCAGGAACAAAGACATATTAGCCTAGTGCACCATCTGAAGCTGCATTAGATGTTAATTTAAGTACAGAATATATTAATCATGGTATTTGTAATGGAGGACTTAGTATACCACAAGATGCATGCGGAATTAAAAATGTTCTGTTAGTGAGATTGGATTATTAAGAAAATACATAAAGAATTTTAATGAGAATCAAAAGATTACATAATTTTAACATCAAACTTGATTTTTACATCAAAATCAGATAAAAGTATAAAGAGAAAGCATATATATGCGCGTATTATTTTAATAATTTCTAAGATATAAATATGCCTCTTTTAAAATCAGTCAAAGACAAAGACCAACGCACAAAAGATAAAAAAACTGATCTTCAAATACGAAACCTGATCGAAGAATTTCATACTGTTTCAAGGTGTGACTATTTTAAAATGGCTAGATTAGTGTTTAATTTAAGAAAAAAATAGTTTATCATTTTTTTCTCAATTCGTGCGCAAGTGTCTATACGCATAACCGTCGTGCACGTAAATGTCGGTCAATCGTAACTGTATTTCATTTGTTGCTACTCTTCCTTTTTTCAATTTTTTCTATGATTGCAATAACAAGAAAAACCTATACCTTATCTGGATATATAAATGATAACCTTTTATTGTTCTTTTACAATGATTTAAAAAATATCTGCTATATCTTTCGCACATGAAAATCGTAGACAAAGAAATACAAAATGAAAGAGCACCAATAAAGATATAAAAAAAATCATACATAAGCTCTTTAATTCTTCATTCACTGTTATTGATAAGCATTGTGATATGTATTGAATAATAAAAAAAGACTTATAACGCCTTTTACCTATGATTACAAAGGTAAGATTTCTTCGAATTATCTAAATTGATATTGGTTTTTAATTTCTCATAGTTTATACTAATTGGTATCGGTGCTGTAGCAGCTATTGCATTCGGCCTTGGTATCATTATTGGTCATTTTGCGATAAAAAAACCAACAAGTAGCACAACAGGAAAGTATGATTATCTGACACGTAACGTAGATCAACAAAATTATAAGACTTTTATTTCTTCTATTCAATCAGCAAATATTGAAGCGAATCTCAAGTAAAATAAATAATATTTCCATACACTCAACAACAAATATTTTATATCATTCATCATTATCTAGAGATCTTACTTCACGTCCACATTTGGGTGGTCTACCTGAAGATTTAGCTAGTGCTATTGTCATAGAACAACGATGGATAAATGATGGACTGAAAGTTACAAAACCAAAATATAATGTTCTTCTTTCTTATCCAGATGATAACTATCCAAATCGGTATATCAACAATAACAAATACAACATTTATGTATTTTTCATTTCTATTTAGAGTTACCCTTACTAGTGGTTCTGGTACTATCATTATTCAAACAAGTGGTACGGAACAAGTCTATGATACAACACAACCGAAAACAGTTAATCCATTTCTTGCATATACACCTAATGGTACTGTTTCTAGTGTAAGTGAAAAAATGAATATCATCGACTGATTGATTTCTTTATGATATATTATAATAGACTAAATTATATTATGGTAACTATGGTCGACTTGAAGATATTGAATATTTAGCATCGATTGTTGGAAATGCTAGTTTACAAGGTAGTATTATTATTATGAGATATGGTAAAATTTATCGAGGAGATAAAGTATGTTATTGATTTTACAATCATGTTAATATGCGTATAAATTCTTTTTGTTAATATTAAGATAATGAATGCTCAGTATTATGGAGCAGCTGGTGCAATATTATATAGTGATCCAATTGATTATGCTCCATTTGGAACATCAGCAGATCAAGTATATGATCAGAAATGGTATATGCCACCAAGTGGTATACAAAGCGGATCTACATATACTTCCAATGGTGATCCTTTGACACCTATTTATCCTTCGACAGGTTCAATAATACGATCATCCTTCTATTCATAGATTTACTATATGTTTATATTTCATAGACTATATGTACAGGATAGGTGAAGAAGAAGTGAATTCTATTCCGAAAATTCCTGCTCAACCCATTGGCTATGGCGATGCACAAGTGATACTTCAGTAAGAAGAGACGTTTTTTTATTTTTTTAATGAATGAATGAATGAATGAATGTAATGATGTATTTAGGTATTTACAAGGTGATAACGTAACAAAAGATTGGAGTGGATCATTACCAAATATGGCTTATCGTTATGGTGGAATTCTTCGAGATTCAGCGTAGGATTTGCAGGTTTTTTTTTGCAGTTGTGTGAAAATGATTTGATTTTGGATTATAGTAAAATCGAAGTCCGAACATACAATAGACTAGAGAGAAAAGATACATATAATGTAATCGGTATCATGAAAGGCGAGATTGAACCAGGTATGTAAAATTAGATATGAATTTCATAAAAGTAAAATTACTGGTTGTTTCAGATCGATATATTGTTTTTGGCAATCATCGGTAAAGTACATATATATCATCATGATGTTTTAATTAATCAATGTACATTATAGAGATGCTTGGAGTTTGGGCGCATTGGATCCAAGTAGTGGAACTGCAGTTTTACTCGAAATTACTCGAGCAATAGGTGAAATGTATAAGAATGGTATTTTTGTTTCTTATTTAAATTGAATTGATATATATATATAGTTTGAATAGGATTTCGACCACGACGTAGTTTAATGTTTTGTTCATGGGGTGCTGAAGAATATGGACTCACAGGATCAGTCGAATATGTTGAGGTACCTATTTTCTGGATAGTGAATATACATGAATAATACATTGAACAAAGATTTATTTTTACAGGAATATGTTAAAGTACTTGGTGCTCGTATCATTTCATACTTAAATGTAGATGTTGCAGTTGAAGGTAAGGTATTTGGTTATAATTCAAATAATATTATTATTCATCCTTACATCAGGAAATTATAAACTTGGTGTAAACACTTCTCCACTGTTGTTTGATATTATTATTGAAGCATCGAAAATGGTGAGTATGAACATCATCGTATGATTTTGTTTTCTATTTTGACATATAGGTTCCAAGTGCATATGATCTTGCTGATCAAACTGTTTATGATAAATGGATGAGAATTGATCGAAATAATATTACCAATGAACCTAAGTAAACCAAAAAATTAATCTATCATTACGAATATAAAATTGTATTTATTTAGTATCAACTATGGTCTTGCAGCGGGTAGTGACTATTTCGGTTTTGTTCAATTGGTTGGTTCATCAAATATAGATGCAACATATACATTCGATTCGACTCTACATAGAAATATAGATTCATATCCACTTTATCATACATCGTATGAAGTGTTTTCGATGATGAAAAAATTTATTGATCCTGATTTTACAGTAAAATTTTTTCAAAAATATATATTTACGTTTAATATTTAATGATTTATTATTCAGGCACATAGAACAATGGGACAATTTATGGGTGTTTTAATATTAATTTTATCAGAAACACCTGTTCTTCAATTAAATGTTACACGTTATACATCTGCTCTTAGACAAGCAATGAATAATCTTAAAATAAATGATTCTACAATTCTTAGTATAAACTGACTGTTATCTTTTGTATTGTAATAAAATAATTCAAATTCTTTTTTGTTAGATCCACTTCGAACTGCAATTGATAATTTTGATGAAATTGCTCAAGATTTTGTTAGACGATCAAAAGTAATGGATACGGAAAAGTATGTTTATTATTATGAAGATTAAAACAGAGTAAGATTCATTTTTGTAGTCCATATATAATTCGTGCATATAATGATCAATTATTCCAATTAGAACGGGCATTCTTAAATCCATTAGGACAGGATAGTGACCATACTGATTTGAAGTACATAATAGCATTTTCTTAACAAAATTTATTTTCTCATTTCTATTTAAGACATATCATTTATGCTCCATCTAAAACTAATCAATATGGTGTACTTGGTTTTCCTGCTATTATAGATGCAATTGCTAGTAGTAACAAAACAGAAATTAATAATCAAATAGCTATAGCTACTTTCTTTGTGCGTGGTGCTTTATCTACACTAAAAGAATTTGATAATTTTTTTTCGTAATTACTTGTTTCCTTCATATCATAATTCATACAATAAAATCAATAACAAATATTTTATCTATTATTTCAACTTTCATACTCCAACAATTGAGTGAAAATGTCGCCGACGAATTAGTTATTCATTCAACGAACCGTCTGCCAACGAATTCCTCAGTGACTCCTCTAGGGACACCTATAGAAGAAAACGTAAAACGTCAACTGAGTGATTAATACGTTTTTATGATGCTATGAACAAGTGAAATATAATTGGTATCAAAAAAAGACTGAAAGCCAGAAATATGCCGAAAAACTTGAAGAATCTGAAATTTTTCTGAATTTCCGAGGCCATCTGTGGACCAGATCTGATACGTATTACGCTTTCTCTGACGAGGATTAGAAATAGCAAATGAAGAGGATATTGGGTATTTTATGGATCTGGATAGGTATTCTTTGCTTTTTTTGGATTGGCGATCGTACTAGTTTCGCATCGATGAATTTGTTTGATTTTACCTGATGTTTTGCTCTGTATAATAATATTTTCAAAATATAACCACGTGAAGTTTATCTTTAAGCGATAAAAAAGACACAAATATTCGAACACGTCGAAAAATTGAGAAAAAATCAATCGTTGCCGATATAAAGAAGAACGGTGATCTTTCTTTACATTCAAACAACAATATCTTCTCACAAGTTCACATTCAACCACAATTTACAACAAGATCAGAATGAGCGAATCAAAATCTAATAAAAATGCTGCTGCATCATCTAAATCAACAACATCATCAAATATTCGTCAACCACAGCAACGTATGGCACAAAATTACCTTGTTATATGGGTAGATGCCAACATCGACGAAACAAACAGGGATTGCCAAGATACATTGATTCAATTGAAGAATGTGGTTAACGACATTAACCTATGCACTCAATCGGATCAGTGCATCCAAATACTTAACCAGGTTGACCATGAAAGAGTCTTTGTCATAACACCAGGTTCCTTTGGCGAACATTTGGTTCCTGAAATTCATGACATGCCAAAGTTAGATGCAGTTTACATCTTATGTGCCAACAAATCCAGACATGAAGGATGGACACAAAACTGGACAAAAATAAAAGGTGTCCATACAAATATCAAAGAAATTTGTCAAGTATTGAAATTGGCTGTTAAGCAATGCGACCGGGACTCAATTGCCGTAAGTTTTCTCACGGCAAATGAATTGGCTTCAACTGAGAATTTAAATCAGTTGGAGCCAAACTTTATGTATACCCAACTATTCAAGGAAATTCTTCTTGATAACAAATACGGTGATAAGGCAATGAAGGACTTAGCAGCTTATTGCCGCGAATTTTTTAGCGGCGATCCAGCTGAATTAAAAAATATTGATGAGTTCCAATATCATTATCGTCCACAACAAGCAATACGATGGTATACACGTAAGTGTTTTATCTGGCCAATGCTCAATCAAGCACTTCGAGTAATGGATGCCGATATAATCATTAAAATGGGCTTCTTTCTACGTGATGTACATACACAAATTCAACAACTGTATGAACAACAGATCAGTAGTTATGATGGAAAGTCTTTTGTAGTTTATCGAGGACAAGGTTTTATGAAATCAGACTTCGAAAAACTTCAGCAAACAAAAGGTGGACTAATGTCATTTAACAATTTCTTGTCCACCAGCAAAAATAAAGAAGTGTCACTCGGTTTTGCTCGACGTGCTTCGTCAAATCCGAATATGGTGCGCATTCTTTTTATAATGTCCATTAATCCTTGTGTTAAATCAGCACCATTTGCTTCCATTAAACAGGAAAGTTTTTATACGAAACAAGAAGAAATTCTCTTCTCAATGCATACTGTCTTTCGAGTGGGTGCAGTTAAACAAATCAACAGTAAGACTCAACTTTATCACGTTGAATTAGAATTAACGTCAGATGATGATCAACAACTACGATTACTTACTGATCTGATACGAGAAGAAGCTGATGATCATACAGCATGGCAGAGATTGGGTGCCTTATTGCTTAAAATCGGTCAATTCAAGAAAGCTGAAGAACTTTATAACGCTTTACTTGAACAGACATCTGATCACGATGAAAAAGCACTTTATTATGTTTCTCTGGGATATGCTTACAATAAACAAGGTGATTATGAAAAGGCTATTCGGTATTATGAAGAAGGACTTGAAATATCTCAAAAAACTCTTCCTTCAAATCATCCTGATTTGGTTATTTTATACAACAATATCGGTAATGTGTACGACAACATGGCAGAGTACCCGAAAGCACTTTCATTTTATGCGAAAGCACTTGAAATTACACAAAAAACTCTTCCTTCAAATCATCCTGATCTGGCTACTTCATACAACAATATCGGTAGTGTGTATGACAAGATGGGAGAGTACTCGAAAGCACTTTCATCTCACGAAAAAACTGGTCCATTGCATCACCTTTTGTTGGCTAATTCATATAGCAACATGGGTGATATGTATGACAAGATCGGACAGTACTCGACAGCAATTTTATTTCACGAAAAAGCACTTGACATCCGACAAAAACTTCTTCCTTCAAATCATCCTCATTTGGCTACTTCATACAACAGTATTGGTAATGCGTATGACAGCATGGGAGAGTACTCGAAAGCACTTTCATTTTACGAAAAAGCACTTGAAATCTATCAAAAAAGTCTTCCTCCAGATCATCCTGATCTTGCTACTTCATACAACAACCTCGGTTATGTGTATGATAAGATGGGAGAGTACTCGAAAGCACTTTCATTTCACGAAAAAGCACTTGATATTCGAAAACAAATTCTTCCTTCAAACCATCCTGATCTAGCTAGTTCATACAACAACATTGGTAGTGTGTATGACAAGATGGGAGAGTACTCGAAAACACTTTCATATTTGAAAAAAGCACTTGAAATTTGTCAAAAAACTCTTCCTTCAACCCATCTTTTATTGGCTACTTCATACAACAACATCGGTAGTGTATATGACAAGATGGGGAAGTACTTGAAAGCACTTTCATTTCACGAAAAAACACTTGAAATCTATCAAAAAAGTCTTCCTCCAGATCATCCTTCATTGGCTTCTTCATACTGCTGCATCGGTAGTGTGTATTACAACATGGGAGAGTACTCGAAAGTATTTTCATTTTTTGAAAAAGCACTTGATATAAGACAAAAAACTCTTCCTTCAAATCATCCTGATTTGGCTAGTTTATACAACAACATCGGCAGTGTGTATGACAAGATGGGAGAGTACTCAAAAGCACTTTCATTTTACGAAAGAACGCTTAAAATTGGTCAGAAAACTCTTCCTTCAAATCATCCTCATTTGGCTATTTCATACAATAACATCGCTAAGGTGTATTACAGTATGAAAGACTATTCCAGAACAGTTTCATATTTTGAACGTGCTCTAGACATATTCCAACGGGCATTACCTTCAACTCATCCTCATATAAAAATGGTGAAAGAAAGTATTGAAATTGCAAAAGAAGATATGATAAAGAATAGTTAATAAATAAATAAAGAATATATTGTTCAATATTTTTTTTTAATTCTATTTTCTAGTGTCTCACGCGCGCACAGAGAACCATTTTGTAAATAATAAAAACGCAATATACAAAGCCGACTGATACGATAATAAATGCGGGTGTGATGTGGATGTCTTCTCTGTGATCACACTCACACGTACACCCACATCCACACGCACACCCTTACTCTATTTTAACAAAAAGTACCACTTATACACCTTCTTTATATTGAACTATCGATATTGTATCGTACCATTTGGGTACAGTTTTTAGCACCTGATTATGTCGGTGACAAAATAGGTGGTGAATTATTAGATTTAGATTTTAAACTGAGTGAAAAACAGTTGAGTGGGTGTGTGTGCGATCACCATTGATAATCTGACATCCTTACCTACACCCACACCCTCAATTTCATAATACTTTTATAAGTTTAAATAGTCTTTCTCCACGCAATCCTATTATATATATCTTGTAACCCTGAAAGAGAAGTGTGAATAAATCTGATATTTATTTTACAATTTTATTTACAATAAAAAGAAAAAAAAATGAATTCATCTCAATGTAAGTATATAATTGATTCATTGTTATTTCCAATTAAACATATTATTAAAACAATAATAACAAATTTGAAGAAATACGAAAATATAAGATAAAATTATATAAACAAATGTAAATCGATATAATTCTGGTTGACAATAATTATATGGATAAAAATTATTCCTTGTATCATAATAATAAGTAACCCAATAAAATACATTAAATGTCCAAATACTTCCAACTATTGTCCATATAATTAAAAATATCGTACAGATAATTGTCATTACACTGAATATAATCACAATAATCCCTGAAATATATGGTTCATCATTACTAGATAATTTTTTCGCCAATATTGTGGGAATAATAGTAAAAATAATCCATCCAAATAAAACACTTCCATGAACAATTAAAAAAGTACTGATATGAGGTTCAATTGGACAATAATGTGGATCATGATAATTTATTCCAACAACAAGTACTGTTATTGGAATAAAAAGAAGAAGAAGAAGAATTATTACGCTAATCACCGATGGTGATACAACAGCACCAACTATATAATTAATCCATGGTTGAGATTCATTTTCATTCAAAGATTGTCGTTCAGATGAACTGCCCAAAAACGGATCCACATCATTTTCGTTTCTCATCGTATGTTTTTATGTTTTATTTCGAATTCTGCCTGTCAATCACATCCAGATCGATGTTATTATTGTATTCAAAGAACGCAAAAAAAAGCAACGATTAATTTCCTTTAGAGAAAAAGATGAAGGTCAGGCGCAACATCGAATGTATTCTATCGTCAACCAATAATAAAAACACCTTTATGCATATAATATAATATACCAAAATAATAGTAATGCAATAAATAACACTCACTCACTCAGTCACT